AAAATTCTACTACCAGTCCTTCATCACCTTACACGAAATAGGGTGAATACATCTCATTAAATAAATGTAAACTATATTTTAGGTGCTGTTTTTGTAAGAAAAATCTGTATGTTTTAAATATTTAGTATGAGAAATATCACGATATCATTCTTCACAGAGCTTTTAATTACTTTTTTAGACCTTCGAATTCTCCGAAAATATACTAGCTGGGATTCGCGGAGCATCTATACCTCTCGAAATAAATCCTATCAGCATCACTCTTTACGATAGCAACCTTCACGAAATCGAAATTTCTGACTCAGTGGAGCCTTTTACTGTATTCATTTCTAAGGTATGTTTACAATTACGAATCAGGTTTCCTTTACATTAGGAGATTTGAGCCTCGAAAGGTCAATTAACCCATGTCATGAGCTATATTTAGCCCTAAATGATCTTAAGGATGCATGAAACAACTAAATATATTAGTCAAATACTTTGTTTTCCAAATTTCATGAAGGCTTAAACATGGAAGGGTTCATCAACAATTAATTTAAAAATCTCATATATTCGAATTTTATTACACAAAATGACATGAAAAAAATGTTTGCTTTTTTCTCTGTTACTTTCAGAAAAGTCCATTTAAAGAGCCAAACTTTCATGCCCTCGATTTGACCAACACTTCGGTGCAACTATCACAGCAGAAGACAGCTAGCGATGGGAGTTTAATATACCAGCCTCTCCTAGTTTACTCTGGAATGCAGCCAGACGGGGAGGAGTTGGCTCTGAGCATAGAGCTTCGCCCTGAAGGCTGGAAGCAGTGTGCTCAGTTTATTCTTGTCGTAAGGTAGGTATCATACGCAAAGAGTCCGGCCAAGTGAGGCATTTAATGAGATGATTTAAAGCTCGTGAGTCTAGAAGCGAAAGATTCTAGCGAGGAGAGGTTGATTTCTATGGAAAAAAAGCCAGTAATGAAGTTATAAAGGGTTTACGCGAAGCTAAAGTAGTTTGCGCAGAGCTCACTGGAAGGGATTTAACAAAATATTTTCGTTTCATGGCTATTTTAAGTCAATATTTATTATGATATAAAAGGTCATTATGATATTTAGGGTTTCAACAATATATGTAATTTCCAACTAGACCAAGCTCAAGTTTATGCGAATAAATTGTTGGTTTCGAGAAATCTCTTGTTTCATAAGTGTTGAGTTTAATTCCATTTCGAGTCAAAAGATGTTTGATGAAGAAAAATCGAAGTTCGAACACATCAAAAGATGACGGCGGATTAGCCTTAATGGAACATTCTGGTTGATGCTGTTTCCAAGGTAATCTCCTTCTAACCGGTGAAAACGGGCTAAGCTGTCGTCCGTCATTCGACTGCTGGTCAAGAGGAATCCGCCGTCGTCTTCTGGTGAGATCGACCTGCCAAGATCTTCATCAAGCACTTTCACTCTAAACGGAAGGAATCTCAAGCATTCAAAACAATTGAGTTTACCGCGAAATCCGGAGCTATCGACACGACTTTGGGTCGTGAAGTCAAAAATGGACATATAGAGCATTCTAGCTTAGCTGTTTTACAACACTAGAACTTTTATAGAAGTGGGTTGACCTCATTTTCGCAACTTGGTCTTGTTGTCAGGGCGAATTAGTAGAACGCACCTTGTCCGAAGTCCTTAGCCATAGTATTTATCATAATTCCCAAAAGCAGGCCCTCGACAAACGTTCTGCCGAAAACGGTTACACTATCAATCCTCTTTCTGTCCTGGTCTATCTATCTACTCTTATCCGACTGCCGCCTAATCACAACTTCTCACTTGTTTATCTTCCACTCGTCAAAATGTGCGCCCTTCTGTGGCAAATCTGGGAGGAGGAGCTGAACAAATTGACGAAGATATTCCTCGACAATGGCTACCCAATCGAAGTGATACAAAGAAACATACGGGCCGTAAAATCTCGATGGCAGAACGGGGACTATGAAAGAACAGTGAGGACGCTGAACGACTCACAAAAGTGGATATGCCTACCTTCCTGCGAACTAACTCAAAAACTATGGCCAATATTCGGGTGGCCATGAAAGAGAAATCAACACTTTTCACAAGTCTACCGACGTAAATAGAAATATGTTGGCGAAAC